GGGCGAGCAGGACTGGGCCCAGCGCCGGGCGGGGCGCGAGGCGGCGGTGCATGCTCCGCATAGAGCGTCCGAGGCAGGCGGTTGAGCCTTCAGCTGGGAAAGGAAAGCCAAAGAGAATCATGCAGTTTTTCAGTGTTCTTAAAAACGACACAAGCGCTCAATCTCCCTGCAAAATGAAATCCCTGTATCTAAAGACATTTCAAGCAACAGTAACAGTTTACTTGTAAAAAACTGACTTGCCTACTACTACCTCCACCCTGAAATCCATTTCCTAGCAACTTAGTTTTCTTCATGATTTATATAGCAATATAGCAATACTCATCATTTACCAAAAGTATTCATTGGCAGCTCAATGCAACCAACAGTACTTAACCGTGGCTCTGCAGGAGTTCAGTTTGCAGCCTGCCTGCCGGTGGAGTTAGGGTGACCTCTCGGGTACCTTAAATCCCTGGTTTGTGGCGGGGCTGCCCTCGGAGAGGACAGTGCCTTATGTGCTTGACCCACAACGTCAGAGCTGTGGATTCTGTGCGGGCCTGCCGGACAGAGAATATTAAACCTGCTCCCCCGAGGGGGAGCCCCCCCCTCAATAATCCTTTCTCACATCAGTGAGTTTTTCTGCCCTTTTACTACTTGGCAGGCACATGATTCCCTTCCCCGCTGGTCTCCTTGTGATGCTGAAAGTTTTAAGAAAAGGTCAGCCGCACGAATTTGAAAATAAGTTAGAGAAACAATAGCATTCTTGTTTTCACTGTAGTGTAGCGTTTTTTTATTCTTCGACAGTGCCCTAATAGAATGAAACAAGATTAATTACATTTTCTTAGTGATACAAAGAGTAAGCTAGTACTTGTACCTTACACTAGCTTTGGACGGGGTTTGATCTTTAAAATGGATGCTGTCATTCTCACAATTCCTAGGAAGAATAGTTGTAGTAGAAAAGGAATCAGAACCGATGACACCAGCCCACAGAGCATTGCTATCAGGTGCCCGCAGGCATCTGGGGAGCTCTTCGCCACCACGGCCTCCTTCCCCATGGTGTCCACTTCTGTGGCAAAGAAATCACAGAATCACTGACCCTTTCATTGTTTGGAACACAGCCATTAACTGATTTCCCATTCCCAACTTTTTCTGTATGCCAGTGGCTCTTAGGCTGATGAATATGTGTAATCCAACAGGGGCTTTTTCCTGAAGTTTATATTTATGCTTATACAGTCAGTCTCCAAGGGTAAACTTTTGTACAAAGGTTGTCGGGATTCATGGTTAATGTTGGCTGTCAGTGTGGTAACAGTAAGCCATAAAACTGACCAGAAAACTGGGTGAGACACTGGGTGGTATGGTTGCCAACAAAAATATAACTAAAGCTCTGTTCATCGAGGGAAGGAATAGGAAGAGGACTCTCCAATTTGTAGCCCTTGCCTACGCCGTCAGTGTGATTTATTACAGCCACATCAAAGTGTTGTTACTAAGATATTGGCAGCTCATTTACAGGGTCAGTCTCTTTTCAGTTTTGGTCTGTTTTGTGTACAAAATGTATATTAATGTGCTTCCTAGGATATGTCATACAATGTTTTCAAGAAACAGAATAATTCTGGTGCTTATTTATCCTGCCCATCAGGGCAACTTCCTTTTCCCCAGCTGAATCTGTAGGATATCAGATTAGTATCCTTCCTCTACAAGTGGCCTGAAATGATTAGAGTTTTTGGCTATTGTTGTGTTACTAGTGTGTATCCAAATAGTTGCACATGAAATGTTGCAGAAACATCTTATAGTTTTTATAAGTGGCAATTTGATGCACTGTTGTGAGGATATATCACAATATATTTACCCTTTCTCCTGTTGGTAGGTATTCATGTTAGTTTTCCTTTTTTTGTCTCATGAGCAATGGTGCTATAAATAGTCTCTAACTACTTATTACATATATATGAATTTCTTCATGGCAAGTCTCTAGAAAGGGAATTGTTAGTCACTGTTTTGGGACTATTTACAAGGTAATTCTAAATCCTTGTGATTGTATCAAAGTGATTGCATCATTTTATATTTCCACCACCAGTGTTGAAAGTGCTTATTGATTCCCATTCTAACACTTAGACATAATTGACAATTGCATATACAATGGGTTTCCTTTTTCTTTAATATTAGCTTTCTGTGATTTCAGTTACCTTTAGTCAATTGTAGTCTGAAATAGCAGATGGCAAATTGCAGAAATACTTTAAAAATTTTAAGTCACGCACTCCTCTGGGTAGAATGATGAAATCTCATACCGGGCAAAGCATTCCCCCTTTTCCTGTGTACCCATGCTGTGCATGCAGCTAACTCATTATTTATTTAGTAGCTCTCTCAGTTATCAGAGGTTATTGGGTGATCTGTGCATCTCTACTCTTGAGTCTAAGAAGCCTTTATTTTACTTCCCAGACTCCCCAAAGAGCGAGCATAGTGACACTGGCATTCTGGATGTGTAAGAGAAGCCATAAACTTTTTTGTTTCTTTGTTTCTAACTGAAAAGGTAAAGTTCTTGACTCAGTAAGAAAAGGAAATGAATTGTATTGTATGTTGTGGTCACTTGGTTCTAGGCCATGTGTAACTAGGATAAGAACCAGTGCGTGCAAAGTTGAGTGCAAGCCAGGGCTGCGGGCAACAGCCGGGCGCCTTAGGGTGCCGTCTGCATCCCCACATAAGGGCAGAGCACTGCAATTACTGGGCTTTTCTTCAATGGGTAAAACATCGCCCAATTACTATCAGTGGTTATATTTTTCTTTTTTCTCATTGTTTATTGATACATTTTAGGTATTCGGTACAGTTACATTCATCATTGGGATCCTGTACCTTTACATGACAGGTCTCGGTTCTCATTTTTTCCCCTTGTCCCTGCCCTCCCTTCACCCCCCTCTCCCCTCCCCCTTTACAAACACTTCATTTCCATTTCTTCATTTTCTCATATTTTTTCTTTTCCCTATTAGCTTTCCCCTACCCTTCCCACTTTCCCTACGCCTTTAGCCCCTTTCTTCCCATTTCACATTGTCATTTATATCATTAGGATCTTATGTATTACAGTTTATTCACGCACAGCGGTTATATTTTTCATGGGTACTTTTGCTAATTTTTGCCCTGTTTTCCATCTCTTCATCGTTATCAGTAGTGATTCTTTGATGAGCTTTTTAACCTCTGATTGTTTCCTTAGCTTACTCTTCTGAGAATGGGGGAGGGGGGATGGCAGAATTTTAAAAATCTACATTGAGAAACTGACTATGGGTAATTATAGAAATTATCTATTTCTATTTAAATGACACTCTTATTTAAAAATAATATGCAATTTTTCAGTTTGCATGTGGACAAATTGATATGTATTTGTGATTTAAATTTCATAAGTGAAGTCACCTAACATGATTACCTTAAGAGAACCACTTTTGGTTTACTATTTGTGGATTGCTTTATTTGTAATCTACATTGAATATGATAGCCAATTTATGCCATATATATTATATCTCACCAAATGATTATTCCAAATGCTGACTTTGCAAAATGTGGTAGAGATCTAGGTTGAATAGAGCTTGGATTTAACAATTGGATGTCTCTCTTCATGTTTCAGATGCTTGATTTTAAAATACCTCGCTGATCCCACTGAACCCATGCATTCATGGATCACCAGCCTTACTCATTCACTTAAGGCAAAGTTAATTATAAATAACAGCAAATAAACAATATTTAGCTTTTTATAGTTTAAATTTATTTGAATTATATTTCTTCCCAGGCCTGAATTCTCCCTTTATTGTTTTGAATACAATTCATAGTGATATACCAATGTTGATTTCTTAGTTTTGATGAATGTGCCAAAGTACAGTGTTTTGACATTAGGGAAAGTGTGTGAAGGAAATATGGAACTTCTTTATATTACATTTGCAGCTTCTAACATCTTTATTTCAATGACTACAATCTTCTAATGCATATCTAACCAGGCAGACATAAATAAATACAGTATCATGCGATGTAGCAAGAGAAAAGTAGACTGCATCCATCACACACTTGTGGGTGTAAAATTTCCACACTTTCCTCAGAACACCTTCGTGTGAGTCCTACATGAAGCGTTCTAAGACAACAAGGCTGAGAAGTACAAAGAGTGCTCTGTCTAAGTCAGGAACTATAGCAGCTTCCCCTCAGTGAGCACGTGCCTGTTTCTCTAAGTCTCAGTTTCTCATCCATAGAATGGGACAGGAGGCTTAGGTAAAAATGCATTACAGGGTATAATTGACAGTCGATGCCTCCTAGTTTAAATGAATAAATCAAAGATGGTTATCTTAATGCAGATGGTAAACACTGAAAGTAACACTAAATTCACAACTACCTTAGTAGACTAAAATTCATCTTACGTTATTAACAATTCAATTAATGTATCAGTAGTCCTGCAAAACAAAAATTTCAAATGCTATGCTAGAGAAAGAGAAAAATCTCGAATGAGCATGTTTTGTTAATTGTGACAGCCCATTCATTAGTCACCAGCAGAAAATCCTGCCACATGTACTGACATGAATTTCTACCTTAGGTGGAAGTTTAACTTCAGGTGTTTTTCTGAACTAAGATTCTGTCTCAAAGAATACAAAGAAATATGTACGAAGATCTTCCTCCTTTAGCCACAAAGAGAGCAGTTAAAATTTTGGAGTGGTTAAAATTTTACAGTCCAGCACAATTATTCACAACTTCGGTTAGAAGTGAATGTCAAAATCCATATGTGACAACCCTTAGCCTATTACAGAAACTATCGCTTATAATTCTTAGAGGCAAGTTAAGTGTTATAATGATTTTTGTCTTATGACACAACA